CTAGATTACTTCAAGAAAATACTTATCTTATTTTTATTTTCCGATTTTAGATCTGCAAGACTAGGACAGCACAAGATTTATGAGTTGATATAAGGAGAAATAATCAACAACTGAAAGCTCAACTGCATAAATGTTAAGATGATAGGGGTACTAAAATATAATTGAGATCAGCTTTTTAATAGATATGAAAAGTGGAAAAATAAGACACATGAAGAATGTCAAATAATATTTAATTTACAAGGAGAAATTTTAGCATTACAGAATAATCCATTAAATATATCAGGAATGGTAGGATACAGACCCAAATATTTTATGGTCATCTTAGAGAGGATCCAGATGATTGACTTAGGGACATACAAAGATATATAATAGCTAGTTAAATAAATGTTATGCCTGATACAGGTCAGGCTGTCGGAAGAGAAGAGGCATTTGGGTTAGTAGTATCATGTCTTGCAGATGATGCATATAATTGGTATTTAACTCACGTCAGAAGTAAAAATTGGAGATGTAATAATTCTCAGACAACTTGGGAGTAGCTACTTTAACTGCTATACGAGCATAGGTATTAGAAATAATGGTAATCAGATTGGTGATTTGAATACTGCTAGAGAATTCCAAGGTAAGGCAATCACCGAAATTGGTAGAATTGGAGCAGAAATCGCAATAGGTGCTGATATTATTCTGGATGAAATATGGGATGAAGACTGATCTATAGTGGTGAACCTGTAGATAATTCACCAGTAACGCCTAATGCCAAAAGTGGTCTTCCTGCTGTTACTATTGCTTCTAGTATTAAGCTTAGTCAACTTTTATACCTGTTTAGAACCGCTTATATAATAGTTGAACACTTAAAACACATAGCAGTTTTTGGTTAACTCATGCAATGCGATATGTCAGTTAAGCAATTCTTCACTAAAATTAAAAAGATTGGTAAAGTAGCTAAAATGACTCCTAAACAGCAAAGAGAGCAATTTATTTGTGGTCTGTCTTCGATGAATCAATATAATCTTTGAATGATGGTCAAATTTCATGATACACAGGATAATATTACACAAGCTCTAGCTGAAGCAAAAAATTATACATTATCTCAAAAGAGCGTACTGTCTTCTTTTCCAATTTTTCTGACGGCCAATTCATATGTAGATATTAACAGATTAGTGATAACTAAAAATGAAATTGAGAGCTTAGTAAAAAATACAATGGCATCCTTAGAACCTCAACAGCCTTAATAAGTAACTTAAACACAATTCCAACTACAACCTGCGGAAACGTATAAAAATTTACAAGATAAGAATATAGGCAAATTTTTATTATGGATTACAGGAGAGACCCCAGAATTTGTTCCTGTTCCTAATCCTACTTTACCACCAAAGCCAAATAAAAAGGTTGAGATTGATTCTGACGATAAACTTTCTGAGCTCACAAAAAGGCAATTAAAGTTGCATATGGCTAAGGCCGTTAAAAAGGCTGTAAAAACACAACATAAATGTTCTATCTGTGATAAGACTGTGCATAATTCTCGCAAATGCTTTTGAAAGAAGAAAAAGAAAAACAAGAAGACTAAAAAAGGTAAGATTAATCTCACTTTAGATCTAAACTCAGATTTAAATTCGGATTCTTTCTCTGATATCTCATCCAATGATAGTTCTGATTCTGATTCAAGTTTTTCCGATTCTTCTGATTCTAAAGGTGAGCTTAATGTTAATATGACTAAAATAAAAAAAAAGTAAAGTGAAAGTCTAGCTCCAAGAAATCATCCTCTAAAAAACAGTCTAAGAAAAAACATAAGTCACATAAATCTGTTAAACAAGCTGAGAAGACAAATATTGAGAAGCCTATAATTAGCTCTGATAAGGCTAAACAAAGCAAACAAAGCACTTTAGAGGATACAGTTCGCAAGATATTCAAAGTGAATTTAAATTAATTTTCCCACACTTTTTACCTAAGCTGATGTGTTAAAACAAGCACTTTCTATTCAGAAGCAAAATGATGAGATTCTAATTACCAAAGATATATTGCCAGATCTAGAGGAGGATGAATATTTAGATGATCTAATGGAGATTGATTTTGTTCAGAAAAAGGAGCTAAAAATAAGTGTTACAACTGTAAAGTGTAAAATCAAATGTTTGAAGATCCCTGCTATAACTCTTGATTTTGAAGCATAACCTCCTATCATAACAGAAAATATTTTTGAGCATGTGGGAGCTAAAATTGATAAATCTGAAACATATGATCTCAGTGGTATTACTACAGTTTTGATTGAATCTGTTGGAATTGTTCATTATTTGTCTATTACTCTAGCCTCAAGTTGTATTATCTATAAAGATTTTATTGTTGTGAGATATCACAAGCCTACGCTAATATTTTCCAATCAACTTTTAAAAAAATACAAATATGCAATAGATTGGAATACTAACGAGCTAAAGATTCCACTTAATGGAAAGGATTATATCTTCTCAGTCACTATGCATAAGGTCAAGAACAAGCTTGAGATAAATTGTGCAAACATTACTCCTGATTGTGATGATTCCTCAACTTCAGATAGAATTTTGCAAGACTTGCAGAACTTAAGTGAGAACAATAATGTATTAAAAAAAGTAAGTTATAAGGAGCTTAAAAAAAACTTATATACTGTTCTCAAGTCTAAAGCAGAACTCAATGATTTATGTGAAAGATTACAGATGGTTTACTCCAGCAAATAGTAAAAATAATTAGATAATAGCTAGAAAGTGAGATATATCTGCTTTATTTTTTTCATCTCTCTTAGCTTCATTATGATAAAATGCATGTAATTCTTCACCTTTTAAGCCTCCAGAGTTTTCCAAGGTAGGCTTAATCTGAATAACAAGTGACTCAGAGATGCGAACAGACTTAGACTTGGTTTTCTTTCCTCCGATCTTTTTTACCTGACTCCTAGAAATAATACTGCATTCGACTGAAATCTCTTTTAATATATTATCCTGAGGTGGTGAAGTAATATTAGAATTGCTTAAACTCTGATTTTTGGCTCACATTGTTGAAAATGACCAGGTTGCCTTATTGTACATTTATGCTAAATCTCATAAATTTGTCGAGTAGAAATATAATATTTTTTTATCATAACTGTTACAGCATTTTTGATTTTTTCACGAGAATTACGAATTTCCTCAAGAACTTCAGGTAATAAATAGGTGGCACCTGCACAATAATATTCTTTAGATAAATAATCCATTTATCAGTAATTATAAAATAAAAAATAATCGGTATAAACCGAAATTTATTAATCATTATCCAAACATTATAATCAATATTTATTAATAATTTCTAAAAAAGACTGGACCTTATTAAAACTTTTTAAAAAATATTAATATATGAAATTTTTTGAAAAATATCAGTAAGGTAATCTAGCATATAAGTTATATGCTCTTGATTTCTTTATTCTGATTAATATTTTGATCACTAAACTGAATATTTTTAGTGAAGAATTAGTAGGATACTCTTGTTCTCACTACCTGGGATTCTATAAATACATGTTCTCAATATCTTATATTTTTTAGTTAAAACTGATAATATATCCTTGTATTCCTACCATCTATAATTTCACGGATTTCTTCAGGTGAAAGAGGAGATGCATTAGACCTTAAATAGTTAGGCATAATCTTTTTATTTGTAATACTTAGCTATAAGGCCTTCGCATAATCAATTTTTATATAAATAGTAATTAGGTTATATTGGCTAATATACCTTGAGAAATATCAATAATAATGGTCGTCGGCTTGGTAATGCATATGAGCAAGAGCTCAAAGAAAAATTATATTCCGCTCTTAAATCTAAAGTAGAAATTAGTGATCTTAGCGAAAAGTTGTTAGATAAGTATTCAGGCGAAAAAAGGAGTTTCAGTGATTTCATGCTGATATTGGAAATAAGGTTAGCCAGCTAAATGATGCAAATACTAAGCTTATATCTCAAATTACTTATGAACGCATGTCTCGTACTGAGCTTGAAGCCAAATTTTTTGCTGAAATTAAATTGCTCAAATCTAATATTAAAATACTAAAGAGAAAGGTAACTTTAGCGTAGAAAGCTTTGTCAGCTGACAAAGTCAAGATACTTTCTTTTGAAGCTAAGGTAGTTGAATTAGAAGGTAAGTTGCTAGATCTGAAATTAGAACATGATTTGCATATAGTTCTAGGACTACTAGAGAAGCTAACCCAAATAAATTCATCTGCAATAGAATCCCTCAGACTCGAACTGGAGTGAGCAAATGAGGATCTTAATTCAAAAAACATGAAATAGAATGTATGGAAAAGGGGATAGAATCATCAAATAACATATACAATCAGACGATAGATTCTTTATTTTTAACGCGGTCAAATTTACTCAAGAAAAATGCTTATCTTCAAGAATTACTATCAAAGAAAGAGCCGAGAGACACTTCACATAATGAAGTAAATACTCCACCCCGCTTATGAATAATTCGTCACAACCTTCTGCTCTTAATTCTCCTATATTTCAGACAATTTCTGTGGGTGATACAGAAGTGGTATCTTTACCAGTAACTGCTCCTATCGTCACGATAATATATACCATACTTACTTTACTACTTCTTGCAATTATATAGATCATTGGGAAAAAAATATGGATTCATGAGTGATAAGCTGAAAAAAAAAGTAATATTCCTTCTAACCAGAACTATTTTTTATTATTTTCGGGTATTTCTGAGGTTGGGCTATATATATCAGGAGCCGGAAGATCGAATATAAGAATTGAAGTTAGCTGGTATTATTGTATAAGAAAAAATATATAAATAATATTGTAAGTTTCTTAGCTGAAATTGCCACATTTCCTAAAAGTACTTAGAAAGTTTATTGTAAAGTTTTTATATATTTTTTAAGTTGTCTTATGGCCTCGTCTTGAGAGTGTTTGTTGATTTTCTTTTTTCTCACATCTGGATCCTTGATCTGCATTATTTTATGTGATAGAGGTGGTTGATAGCTATCATTCTTATTGATAAAGTGTGCCTACATTGCAACCATAATACTTAAATAATAATTGATATCTATTTCCATGTTTTGCTTTTTTGCTATATTCGATAGATACTCCATATTATCCCCAACTCTATATGGTATTAACCTACCTTTCTCATCATGAAGATAGGGACCCTTCACAATGATATAGCTAAATTGTTCATCAGGATTAGGAATCCTCTCATTTCTCTCTCTTATACGTTTCATAAAGCGATTGTTGCAGAGATTTTCTTTTTTAGGTCTCATATCCCTATCACAATAAATTCATTGAAATTCCATTTCTTGTTTCCTGCTTCTCTAAGAGTATCTTTAATAATTTTGTGAATTGGGCGTGTATTATTTATATCCATAGCCTCTCTCATTATCTTCTCTCAAATGAATTTGAAAAGGTAGGATTTACCTTACTTTACGGTATCTATCCTTTTCATGAAAAGATTTTTGGTTTAAAGTTTACTACATCTTCATGCTCAACTCCAAAATACTTCTTTTACCAGTAAAGCAGACAGGAAATAATACCTCTTCATATGTCATCTTTAAATAAGATGTGCCATTTTTATCCTAAGATAAGCATTACTTGATCGTGCAACTTTCTCATCACATCCATAGTAATTTTGACTATTTCAGTCCAGTACGCTTCTTTGAAAAGTTCTTCTCTGAAGAAGGCTTTATCACATTTCCATAATACCTATCTGGGCAGGTGAGATACAGAGAATCAGTATTCCATATTTTATCCCAAACCCTTTCTTTGTTACGAATTTGGCAACCAGATTAAGGTTGTATTTTTCTGTCATAGTAGTTCCATAAGCTAATTTGTGAAGAAAGATTAGAGATAGTGAGTTTTCTACTTTCCCATAAAAAGTGTTCATATATACCTTTAAAGCTTTATACTTTGAATCCCAATAATCATAATCAAAGCATACAGATGAATATTCTAAATTTAACCTTTCTGGTATCCTTTTATCACTTTATTTAGCTGAACTTATCATCTTCCTAAGATGTTGCTTTTTCTTTCCTAGTGGGGTTTGACGTGCTTTAAATTCCAACCTTTTGTTAAATAAATCATCCAACACGTCCAGTTATAGGCCTTTCTTTTCTGTTTAGTTATCATGATGGATGTACCAAGCTTGGACGATATGATTATTAAACGAAAACTCAATCTTATGCAAGTTATTTCTATTATTTTGCGCAATATCAGCATCCTTTAGATCAAATATAAATTTTTCTGAAAAGTGGTTATATGCCATGATAATATTGGGATATAATGAAGCAAAATCCAATCCCGTTATAGGTCTTTCACTTTCAATCCCTTTTTTAGGTGAAAATATGTATGCACTAGGATATTTCCTTTTTTTTATGTTTTCATGAATCCTTGTATTAATTACCATTTCTTATTTGATAGCACATGCGTCAAGAAGGTTTCATACCTTCATTCCATTTGCACAATAGTATGCACCGAAAAGGGAAACATAAACTATAGAGGCAACTTCTTTATAATCATTTATTATACTTTGGTTCACCAAAACCTCTTGATAGCGCAGTGCATTTATAATACAATAATATGCTACTTCACTATACATGAAGTCGAAATGGATCATTTCAGATATCTGAAATTGTCAAAATGGTCAAAATCATTTTGACCATTGGAGGCTAAAGTTACGAAATAGTCGAAATGACGTCATATCACATGATTTTTTATATTTAGAAAAAACAAAAAACAAAAGATATACGATCTCAGTCAATATCGCTCTAATTCATATGAAACAACTATCATTTGATTCCTCGAAACTAGGAAAATTCAATGAGCTAACATTCATTGATTTTTGGATCATCCAATCATGAGATACTTGCAATTGTATTATCAGCTGAAATTATAAATCAATAAATTCTACTTTAAATAAAAAAGTCTGGATTTTGAAATACAATCGCAAATATCTCGAGATAGGATGATCAAAATCAATGAATGTTAGCTTATTAGATTCATCTAGTCACGAGGAATTGAATGGTAGTTGTTTCATACGAATCAGAGCGATATTGACTGAGATCATATATCTTTTTTTTTGTTTTATCTATATATATAAAAAATCATGTGATATGACGTAATTTCGACTATTTCGACTTTTCATTTCGACTTTTGGGTTTTTATTTTGACTTCATGTATATATTTCACGCATATTTCTTGCAGTTGTTGAGAAGGGACTTTTTTTGTCTCTGAATAGATTTTTCATATATTATCATATGGCATGTCAGCCTTACTATCAAGACCACACTTTTGTAAGAAAAATTTAAGTGAACCTTTCTTTTCAACTTCAGAATGAGGGAAACATTTTTGAGGCACACTCAGACATTAATCAGTACGCAACCTGACAGTTTAAGGAAGCTAGAAGTAAAATCATCTTCTACATTATTTTTGATCTTAATTAGACCACCCATATATTCTTTCTCCTCTGGATCCTCTTCACTTTTCTAGAGAGTCTTAACAGGATACTTTTTCACAAAAGTATTTTCAGATTTCACTCCTATCTTTTCACAATATTTCGATTTTATAATTTCTTCCTTTGTTTCAAACTTTCCTATCATTTGTTCCCACATCCATTTGAGTATGTTAAGGTGATAGGCTCTTTCCATAATAAAATGCCAATTATAGTCTGAATTGTTAAACCCAACTTGGATGTCAAAGGCAAATGCTTTCCAGAAGAAAGCGAATGCTTTTAGCAGATTTTCTTAGTTTTCACATATGATTGTAATGCATTCTGGATCTAGTTCTGTCTCAACATCGACAAGACATATTTGCTTTAGCAGTTTTGGATCATCTTTCAATGCAATATCATGCTGATCATAAAGACATTGTGATTCATATTAAGGATTTTAGCAAATTCACCTAACTCTCGTGATTGGGTCTCGATATCACACGTGAGGATAAGAGTACAATCTCATAAGAGAGCTGAAATGGAAAATCAGTCACTTATTGTTGTAAAATCCTCCAGCGGATAGAAATCTTTTATAGATACATAGAATTTGTGCGGACAAAGCAGGCTGGTCTATTTGCCTTTCTTGTATATATATTTGTTTATTGTAGACCATCCAGAGAGTTGGATTCTGTTTTCTCAAACTACCTATCGGTGGAATGAGTATAAATCATCTGAAGCAGTTTTGAAATTATTTTCTTGGATAGCTTGGATGGCTTTCTTTCTCCTCTCAGTTCTATTCGTATAAATTTGTAAATATGGTTTTTTTTCTGTATAGTATCCGCAGAAAGGGAATGCTTTAATATGTTCTATTTTATATGATTTCATAATGCCAGAGAGAATTTTGCTCACCTTTTCTTTGCATTTATCTGGAGTCTCTCCGTCTGGTACGAGAATGTCAAAGAAAATCTGAATGTACATAAGAGTTACCAGTACCTTTTGGTAGTTAATAAGGTGACCATAAAGACACAATACATAGTAGTATATTCCTTTTATCTTTTCTGTTGACCCTTTATTATTAATGGTCATGAATGGAATTTCTTGGCAACTGGATAGAGCATCGTCAAGGATTGTTATTAATTCTTCATAATTTTCCAGAATTATATCATTTAGTGTTTGGATGTCTGACAAGTTTTTTTTACCGGAATAACAAATCAGTTGGCCTTCCATTTTATTTTTTTTAGTCTCTGGGTGAAAAAGGGTAGGGGCGTCGAGTATCCTGAAAGTTTATATTGTGTCATAATAAAAATTTTTTAGTTATGTTATCTAGTATATTGTTTTAATATAATACTTTAGTAAAAAAGTTTAAAATAAAAATAAATAATTGTAGATATCAAAGTGTTATTTATCTAAGAATAATATCAATGAACAGTAAATTTATTTGCCAGTATCATTCCGATAAAGGGGAGGATTGTAAGCAGGGAAGTAAAAAACCAGAAGAGTGTTATATTTACTGGAAAAGACACTAGTGACCTCTATGCAAACAAGATTGATATGAAAGACCGACGCCTTCTGAATATGGATTTTGTGATTGACATGTAAAAAAGTATTATTTGAATGCATATTATTATCGGAAAAAATTGGATAAGATTTTTCAGAAATGTCAGACCTCAGAGGTAATGAGTCAGGTTCTCGATAAAATGAAAATATCTGATACAATAAAGTGTTGGCCTTAGAAAAATCTGCCTTAGGAAATTTTCAACTTTTAGAGGTAGAAGTGAAATAGCAAATTAACTTTATTAGGATGCTAGAATGGTTTTTTGAATAGTCTGTTCTAGATGGTCTAGAAAAATTTGGACTTCTTTACTTTTTTATTTTTTTATTTTTTATCTATAATCATATTAATATATACCATACACATATTATATATATATATAATACATATTCCATTTATAAAAAAAATTTCGATTTTTATCCTAAGAACTTTATTTTTACTAGAATACCTAAGAAACCTAGAGAAGATAATACAAGAACAAGTTAAATCAAACAAAGAATACTTTCTCCTATAATAAACTCTACCCTAAGAAGTGGTCCAGTAAAAATTTCTGTCCTAGAATACTCAAAAAAAATAGCATACTTATTGTTTCAATCTAGTTTAAACTATGATCGAGCCTTAGAAGTGCTTATAACATCTCACAAACATCTTTCAAAAGTAATGAGAAAGTTGCGAGAAGGTGATGAAAAAGTACTAGGAACTGAAGACATAGTAAGCGCAATAAATTAACAATAATATTAGCCAGTACTATTCCTTAATTTTAACCAAATCTTTAAATATAATGATTTGGCACCTAAGCTAGTATAAAACTGATTTGGAATTAGTAAACTAATAAAAGTATACTAGCTCCTTGCCAGTTCCTCACCAGTTCAATGACAATTTTAAAAGAGTTCTATAATACCATTAGGATGCTATTATGATGCTATCATGACACTAAATTGGATTCTCAAATCACATGCCCAAAAGATTGACCAGAGTTATATTATAGAGCTGATCAAAATTAATCACAAATACACTGTGCCACCTATCGCCTTTTTTTTTTTACACTATTTCAATATTTTAAAAGGCAACCAAATAGGCATGCATCTTATCCATATTTACTAACCAATAAGTCATAGAGAGGAAAGCAGGTATCATCTTTAGGATAAATAAATCAATGGATTATAACATTCTAGAATATATTAATTAATAGATTATAACATTTTAAGACATATTAGTCTAGTATAAGTGGGAAAATATAAAATCATATAATATATTAATATTATATGATTTTATATTTTCCCGCTTGATTATTTAAATTAACCTTTAATTAATTATTTTCACATTTATTAGTAGGTTTTTTACTAATTTTTTCATAAAAAATTATGTTATCTACTTTAAAATTTTCTTATTCTTTATTAGATTCTTTCTTTTTTAATAAAAATTTAGAAGAATCAATATAAATCTTTAGATTTATCTTTATTTAAAATTGCTTTAATTTTTTTTTTACAATTGAAGAAATACTTTGAAGTTACATGTTATGACTAAATAAAAAAATTTAAAAATTAGCTATTAAAAGGAATATTCAAAAAAATATTTATTTGTTTATTTAAAAAAAAAGACTTTATAAATATTTATTAAAATTTTGTAATTTGAATATTACTATAAACTTATTCAAAGTTTTCAAAAGTTAAAAAAAATTTTAGCATTCTTTTATAATTAAACATGTTCTATATTAAAAGTATCTTCACATTTTTATTTTAACTCTTCAAAGTCTTTTTTATTTTCAAAAAGAAAAATCAATTATATTTTAATAACTTTTTCAGTTCATTTAACTTTTTAAATTTTAGTAGTTTTTTTATTCTACATCAGTTATTTTATTTTTATGGATTTGTTCCATTTTTTTTTTATTAAGAAAGAAGTTTATTTTATTTATAAAGAAATAATAAAAAAGAATATCTTTTAAAAATTTGTAGTTTTATAACTGTTTCACATTTAAAAAAATATGCATACATTTTATTAAATATTGAATTATACAGTAATTTGATTAAAGAACAAAAAGTATGTAATATTCTAATTTTATTCAATCATGATTAGCAGTTAATCTTAATTATATTTTTAGTAAAATCAGATTGATCTCTAATTTCAATTTTAATCTTAATTATGTTTTGGTAAAGATTTCTATTCTTTAAGAAAAAAATTTTGAGAAAATTTTGAAGTTATTATAAAAATACTTATTAAAATTTTGATAATATAAAAAAAATGGATTTTATTTATTGAAAATTAAAAATTTTTATCTTAATTTATTAATTAAATATTTGAATCCAATTTTTAGAAAATAAGAAAATTAAAAAAAAAAAAATTTTTTTTTATAAAAAAAGTGAATAAAATTGAATTATAATTTGTTAATTATAAAATAATAAATTTTAATTGAATATTATCAAAAAGAATAAAAAATTAAAGAATTATTGGTTTTTTTTTAGATAAAGTTAATTGAATTTTATCTTAAGGATTAATATCTGAATTTGGAGAAATAATTAAAGATAAAGAAGCAAGTTTCAGAATTTTATAAATTAATTTTAGGGTTAATGCTTTAAGATTTTCCTTTTATTTATATTTTATTGTATTAGATAAAATAGGTTTAGTTATATTAGTAGTTAATAATAAGAGTTATTCATTTATCTGCTTTTTTTTCAAGTATAATTAGAATGTTTATATGATAAGAGAAAGGTAATTCTACAAAATTGATTTATATAAATTTGATAAGTAATGGTCTTTAATAAATAATAATTGACTGATAATATATAATGCGAAACTATGTAAATTTCTTATCCCTTAGACTGTATAACAGGCAAATTTGTTTGTGAAACTCTATGATCTAAAGGATAAAGATTGAGAATAAATGATTTTTTTCTGAAAAATAATATAAATTGAACAAAAAAGAATTATTGATCTTATCATTAAGATATATTTTGTCAGTGATGTTTAAGATAATCTTATCATCTCCAAATTCTGAATTATCTGATAGTATACTAATTATAATAGATAATAAACATCTTGAAAGATCTTTTTCATTAAGATTAAGCATATATATATTGGATGCTATGACCTATTTTTTTAAGATAATTTATTAAGATTAATTAACTTATTATATCTTATTTTTTTATTTTTATCTTTTTACCTTAATAGGTTTATTCTTACTATCATTAATATTTGTTTAGTTACCAAAAATCTGAATAATATTTCCTTTCTTAAATCTTTTCAAATTATTATTTTTAATTATATATTTTGAATAAAAATCAGTAATATAGATAAAATACTAGAGGTTTTTTCACTTGCCAATACTGCCAAAATGCTAAATCTATATTAAAATCTTATAATTACTTGTATTAAAATTATGATGAAATGCCAAAATGCTAAAACTATCATAGTAAATGGCAAAACTGGAGAAACTATAATGAAACTATATTTACTAAATTTAACTCTTATTAAAATTTACTGAAATTAATTGTAGAATTTTGAAAAGGTTTAGGCAAACTTTCTTAAATATGAATAAAGATGTTGATACCATAGTTTCAAGAGCCAATTATTCCTATAATATATATAATATAGCTATAAACTTTGATTTTTCAGTTGTTTTATTATATTGATTTATATGACAAATTGTATTAAGATTAAATTAAATTAATAATATACAATTTTGTAATAAGACAAGTAAAGATGATATATATGATATATTTATTTCAGAATGTATAACATGTAATTAATGATAAAAAAAGCTTTTAATGTATTAAAAAAAGTTCTTTTCAAACCTATTTTGCGATATTTACGGATCATATGATCGAAAGTTTTATGACAAATGACTGAAGTGTTTATTTATTATTATTCAGAATCTACATTAATAAATCAATTATATAAACATCCTTTCTTTCTTAAATTTTAAATTTTCAAACTCGAAAAAAAAAATATCATTTTTTAACATTATATCATGGTTGAACCTTCACGCAATTATTTTAACGATGTTGAAAATAAAATAAAATTTGTTGATAAGCCATATAAATCCTCTATTAGGAGCCTCTTAGGGAAATCATCTGATACCTGTCCTGTGTTCGTCAGAAATTGCAAGATGGTCACAGATATCAGTCAAAAAATCGTTAACATGAATCGGGCGACCATTGCCCTTTTTTCGTAAGGGTTGTTCTCCATTAGGGATATCGCTGAACTAATCTGACATAAGTAATAATGTTAGTCAACATGTAACAATTGTCC